TCCTGGAAATCACGTCAGAAAAAGGGTAGAGTTGTATCGGAGAGAACGGTAACCTCGATATCGGTTGACGAGGATACATCGAATTACGTCGTTGAGACAGTGACTAAAGTTACCGAGGAAGTATCCTCGATGATGATCGATGGATCAATATTGAAGGATTCGCAACCGCGCAAAACGAAATCTCAAGATTTAACGAATATCGAAACAACGAGAACCACGAAAGATTTTAACGTTACACCAAGAAGTACGATTAAAGGATTGAAGTCTGGAAGTCTTTTAACAAGACGTAACAAATCTTTCGTCGAAAGGGATATAACAAACAATGGCGATGACATTGATACGCGGAAGGATGAATTAAAGAGGATTAATACGTCATCGACGATCCTATCGAAAAGAAAACAATCATCGTCGGAAATTGACGAACAACAACAAGATGATGGTAGAACGAAGAAACCGAGAATGTTGAACAGCGTAACCAAGGCCAACTTTCGTAACGATCGTTATACGAAAAAATTAAGAGATAGGAGCAACGTGATAGACGGGAATGAGATACCACAGAGGACAACGTCAAGGACAACTACGGTTACAAATAGATATAGTAGGAAAAAGATCAATGGTACGAGACCTTACGATAAAATTTCGAAAAGTTTTACGACGGCAACGTCGATCCAATCGTCATCGAAAAGACGTGAATTCAGACCAAGAACAGCTACGTATCGTAGACATTCGGAATTGCCAACTACTAATACCTTGCTGATAGAAACGACCGAGAGGGTCGACGATACTCAGGGCGTTGCGATCACTCCTAAAACGCTCAAATATCATGCGACCTTGAAGAGTTCAACGCCGATCGAAACTCGATCGATACCGCAGGAGCCTCAGGTTAGCGTTAGGATAACCAACGACACCAATTCGATTGATACTGGTATTACCGACAGCAGCAATGGTAATACTGGTACAACCAGTAACATCTTCAATCCAACAAGAAGTGCCTTTCTAAGTGGTAACAGTACGCTTTTGGAACAGCTACGGAGTACCGTAGCGCCACTTCTCAGCTCTCTGGGTAACAGGACACCTATATTTGCCGAGTCCTACAGTAACGTTAACAACGGAGTAAGTGTATCTGTTTGTTTGTTTGTTTGTTTAGTTGGTTGGTTGGTTGGTTGGTTAGTTAGTTGCTTGGTTGGTTGGTTTCGTTTTTTTTTTTTTTTTATTTTTTTATTTTCCTATACAATATATTTATCATCGATGACTATCATAATGATTGAATTAATTCAATCATTAATTGAAGGAATTTCTTTTTTTATTTTCATTATATTTATACGATAATAGTTTTGTTCGACGACGATGATAAGTTATCTAATCGATTTTTTCTTTTTCTCTTTATCTATCTAATCGTATAATGTATTTTTTTTTTTTTTTGTTTAATCGTACATTTTTGTTTAGAAAAATTTTGTTGATGAAAAAAGAAAATTCGCAAATTTATACTTACTTAATTTTCCTTTAAATTTTATTTGCAATCTTTGAAGAAATAATGATTTAAATATTAATAAAATTATTATTATTAATTTTCTTTTCTTTTTTTTTTCTTTTTTTTTTTTTTTTACGATTAATTAAGATACTAATACCAAGGTATTATATTATAAAGGATAGAAAATATTTCTTATCATTGTTTATAGAGCTCTACACCTAGGATTACACCAAACGGATCACCACCAAGATTCAGTGCTAGGTATAAAGGAGCTGAATTGTTCGTTAGAAAGCCAACAGGTTATCAACCTACTGTACCATCGATCACGAGCTCTTCGACAACGCAAATAACTCCGATAGAGGTAAGACAAAGTTAGAAGAGGTTGATCATTTTTATGCATAATTTTTTTTTCTTTTTTCCTTTTCTTTCTTCTTCTTCTTCTTTCTTTTTTTTTTTTTTCTTATTTTTCTTTCATAACTCACACACACACACACACACACACACGCACGCTCTTTTTTTTCTCTAAACAAAATGTAAAAATTACACCGCATCGCTGTTGAAGTAGCTGATTAGTAATAATCACACTGACAGGTTAGAATAAAAAAAAGTAATAGAAAAAAGAGAAACAAAAAATTGACAAATAATAATAATACAAAAAATAAATTTATATATATATATATATATATATAAAACAGATAATAATAAAACGAAGTTGAATGAGAAGGTAAGCGAATTGTTTGCAAAAAAGACGAGAGAGAGAGAGAGAGAAAGAGAGAGAGAGAGAGAGAGAGAGAGAGAGAGAAAAAGAAGTGGCTTTTGAGGCTGGTTCCGCATGATGATTGAAATGAACGTTTAGGTGGAATCACGTGACCATAACTTTTCTGTGCTTAAAAGGTATACACCACGAAGATCATGGAGGATTTGGAGAGTGTCGCGCCGCCATCTTGGTCAACTGATCTTGGTATCACTAACAGCCCCAATGGAATTATCAATTCGGAGAGCATTTATACGAATAATCTTCGTTAAAATCATTAATAGCGATTAATTATTAATCCTGTCTTATATTATTATTATTCTTATTATCATTATCATTATCATTTATTATTATTAATACTATTATTATTATTATTATTATTATTATTATTATTATTATTATTATTATTATTATTATTATTATATTTTTTTTTCTTTTTACAGCGTTGCCATTTCTTTTATTTCTCTTTAATTAAATATAAACATACATACGTACATATGTATATATGTGTAAATATATATATATATATATATATATATATATATATATATATGTATGTATATATTAATAATTCATTTATAGGTTGTGGTACATATATATATTATTTTATTTTACTATAATATGTGTGTGACCGTGTATATGACATTCACTATAATTATTAGAATTTCAATTTGTTTTTTTGATATTATCATGAACATACACACATTCTCATTCACGTTTCAGCACTTAGCACCTTTCAATAATATTGTTTTAGTTTTGAAAAAAAAAAAACAAAAAGAAAAACAAAAAAAAAACTTTTTAACAATTTGCACGTGGACTGCGAGGACTTAAGAGGACTAAAAAAGAAAAAAAAAGAAAAAAAAGAGAAAAAAAGGAAAAAAAAATAATAATAAATAACGGAAGGGGTTTATTATTGTTTCTTTATTTATATAAATATATATATATATATATGTATATATATACACGCACTTTTATATATATATATATATATATATATATATATATAAATAAGTGTGTATATATATAAATGCACTTACATATTAACACTCTTGTTTTTCACATTTGACGTCACATCGTTTTCACATTGACGTCACAAAATTTTCAAGTTACGCACTAAAGTATTATATACAATACGAAAAAAAGTATTATATACATACATTAGATATAATATGTATATATACGCACACATATATACATACATGTGTATATATTGTTTTATAATAAATTTACTGCTTCTTGCATTGCACGCGATAAATAGTTTTTCGTCCTCACTTTATAACTATATATATATAATTACGTTGTGTGTATATATATATATATATATATATATATATATATATATGCATAAACATAAAATATAGTTATATGTATATATAAGTTTGCAATTTTTCTTTTGATCTCGTAAATCAAAATATTTCTTTCTCTTTTCTTCTTACGATAGAGATCTTTTAACAATTAGCAACTGCACGTATTTCTTTTTTTCTTTCTTTTTATTTATTTTTTTTTTTTTTTTTTTTCTTTATCAACATATACTACCTTTCGAATGTTACTTGTTCGATGGTTTTTTTTTTTTTTTTTTTTTTTTTTAAAGATCGTCAATAATTAATTAATCTTCTAACCATCTGATTATCCAATGATCATTCTTCCTGGAATATAATGGAAAATATTATGATGATTATCTCGTTCCATTTCTTTTAACATTCCGGATTATTACAGTAACGATGGTGAAAGTACGATGTCGTGTATATAATACGTGAATATTTTCTATACGTATATTCTATATTTCTCATACATGTGACTTTGGTGTAGGTGTTACGAGATTGAATTTTATAGGAAGAAGGAAATATATTTCGCGGCATGCGAATCGAGGTCAGCGCGTTAATTTAACACGTTGAAAAAGATTAGAGAATTTTGTTTTATATATCAAGGAGAACCTTTTTGTTTTATTTTCTTTTTTTTTTATCTTATTCAAGAAAATTTCTACAATTAGATCATTCAACCGAAGTCATTTAAAATTGTTATTGATCCAATAGATCACGTTAATAAAGAATCATTATATGAATCTGGAGACATCTGTGGTTAGTATTTAAAGTTGTTAAAGATATTTCATAGAAGTGGAAAAAGTTTTATAAGTGAACGTCCAGTTTCTTAGATAGCCATGTAAGAGAGAAAGAGAAAGAGAAAGATAGAGATAGAGAGAAAGAGAGAAAGAGAGAGAGAGAGAGAGAGAGAGAGAGAGAGAGAGAGAGAGAGAGAGAGAGAGAGATCTTTAACCTCAAGAACGAGTTTGCCAAGTATAACCAACGACATAGAGTATATCATAGCGTATTTTATAGTAACAGGCAATGTTTCTAAGGTGTTCCTAGGTCGTACCATTTTTCATCTAGTTCATAGAATTACCAAGAGATGGTGTATGCTCACATAATTGGCTTAAATATATTTGTATCGATCGGTATTTAACAAACTGTTTGAGTTTCTATTACAGTTAATCATATCGTAAAATATTGTAAATAAAAAGAAATATATATATATATATACATATATAGATGTATCTAAATATTTAATTTACAGCACGGCACATTATTTCAATATGTATAGCACCTGCACGCACCTTTAATTTTCTGATTACAGAACATTGGTTCAGTACTACCACCACCTATTGATATTTCCAGTCCCGGAGAGCCCAAATTTTTAACATACTATCAAGCATTGGAATCGGCTAGCGTCCGAAACGAGCAAGGGGATTTTGAACAACAGCAACAACTTAATGACACTGTAACACAGGTAGACTCTAACAGCGCAACTAACGGCACCAATGGCACCAACGCCAATTCTAACAATGACACAACGAGTCCCAATTTAGAGATCGCGAGCCCACAGACCCCAGACAATACCACGACCCAACCGGATAATCTATCGAATGAAACATTAAACCAGGATACGGAGAATCCCACTGTTACTACGGATGGTTTATCCGAGTCATTAAATGTATCCATGACCGTTGAACCCACTGAATCATTGTCCACCACCATTACAGATTCAATGATAGAAACTAACATGACAACCTCTACCGATTTGTCTACGAGCGTTGGTGTTGTTGAGAATACGTCAACGACACAGGAAAGTCCAGTTAGTACAGAAACAATGGATACTATGTCTTCTACCCCCGTTATTACGGACAGTTTGTCTTCTACTACTACAATGGAACCTAGCACTATGATAGTGACCCCTATGAACGATGTTATTACAACCACTGTAACCCAGTCGTCAGATTTAACCGAAACAATGAACTCTACTACAGATTTATCTAGTACAGATTTATCTAGTACAGATTTATCTAGTACAGATTTATCTAGTACAGATTTATCTAGTACAGATCTATCTGGTACAATGGAGTCTACTACTACCATGGTGATGACGAGTGAATCATCGAGTGAGAGTCGTTCGTTAGATTTGTCTGGTACTACAGAAATGTCCAATAACATTGATACAATTCCAACGAGTACGACACAAAATCTTGAAAGTTCTTCAGCTGCGGTGGACACAACAACTATCGTCAGTACCGAATCAACAACTTCACAGACATCATCTATCATGCCTACGACTAATGTCTCTCCCATGGAAACGTCAACTGAAAGTATCGAGAGTAATACGATAGAACAATCTGGTGTAATTACGAGTAGCAGCGAATCGAATGTTCAAACATCGACAATAAGAATAACAACGACTGATCTACCAATAGCAACAACATTCCGTACTAAATTGATAGACTTTGCTCAAGATATTTTATCACGTTTGCAAAGTGCTATAGCAGGAACAACCTTGTCACCCATTTTAAAAACGACTCCGGCTACAACAACCCTACCATCTACTTTAACAACGACTCCAGCTGAAACAACCTTGTCGCCTATTTTAACAACGACTCCTGCTGAAACAACCTTGTCGCCTACTTTAACAACTACTTCAGTTGAAACAACCTTACCGCCTGCTTTAACAACGACTTCAGTTGAAACAACCTTACCGCCTGCTTTAACAACGGCTCCAGGTGTAACAACAGCCGAGACACCAACTTCAACGACTGATACAAATACCAATTTGAATAATCAAATGGAGAGTACCACGATGATGATGTCAGACATCGTTCAGCAACAAGAAATTACAACAACTTCTGACGATGTCACATCTTCGAGAGATGTCCAATCAGAATTGAGAGAAACGACTACAGCGACACCTTTATCAATGGATATGTCCACTCAAGAAGCAGTAGGTTTCACTGATTCAGAAACAAATACCCTGGATAATGTTGAAATTAGTTCTACCACAGATACGAGCACAACAGCTAACGCTGAAAGCTCCGATTTAACATTGGATGTAGAATTGCTAACTCAAAATCAAACGTCGATAAGCCCTGAGAATGAAACCAGTGTAAATACTACCCCAGAGAGCCCCGTTAATACAGCAACAGAAATGACCACTTTATCGTCAACGAACTTGCAAGATTCTACTATAAAAAGCATTATTACCAATGACCTTAATGATACGTTACTCACAGAATTAATGACAATCGCGAAGTCCCTGTTTTCGGAAGCCATGAATGATACTTTCGTTCAAACTATATTGGAGAATATTTCAAATACAATTGATTTGGAAAGAAAAATGCAAGATAATGAAAGTAATTCCATTACTGATTCTAATACAACAATGAATAATACTGATGAAAGTTTCCTTATTGATAGTACTACGAAAAACGTACAAGAGTTTTCTACCGAAGTTCCATCAGAACAGGTAGAGACAACACCGATCAGTTCAGAATCTGAAGAGGAAACTACTTTAACGGTGAACCTATCTGAAAATGAGATAGAATCAACTCCCATAAGCCCAACGACGATTACTAATACTGAAATTCTGGATGATAGTTTAGCCCCTAACGTAACACAAAACGAAATGGAATTCGTTCAGACAAATGATACGACAAGTTTTGAATTAGGAACGACGTTAGAAAATTTAGAGACTACTACTGCCACTGAATCTATCGAGAATGAAATAGGAACTATCGCGAATGAAGATATTGAAAATATAACTGAGAGTTCTACAAGTATTACGCAGGATATAGAAACGACGACAGTTTCTACTGCTGATATTGAATTGACGACCCTCAGTTATGATTTTCAATCGACTACGGCCCAGACCCAGATAACTACCCCTATAGAAAGTATAGATATATCGATCTCATCCACCCCAAGTATGGTAACAGAATCATTGACAACAACCACTGTGATAAACGATGATCAATCGTCGATAACGACTCCTTTAGATATTGACAGTCAAACGTCTGTTAACCCAACAGAAACAACGTTATCGTCTGAAAACTTCGAACTTTTGACCCAGTCGATTGTAACGAACGATAGCAGTAGTACTAATCTCGTTTCAACCGAGCCCATGTCAACCGCTACAGTAACAGAGCCCGCAGCTACAACGGAATTGGTAGCTAATAATGATGATATCACAACGAGCCAAACCCCTGAAATAATTATTACCGAAACCATAACAGAACCGGCTCTTGATCAATCGATCGATATCAACAGAACTAACCAAACAATTGAAATGACCTCGACGGAATTGATTGTTAACGATGCAGAGGTAACTACTAACTCACCCTTACTAACAAACGATACAGAATTATTGGATTTAACGAATATTACTGGGACTACCACCACTAACCAGGCAATCGAAACAACCACAACGATAATGCTCACAGACCCCCCATCATCGCCCATTGACTTCACGAACACCATTCCAACTGATATTGACCGTTTGCAGGATACTACGCCAACAACTGCCCAAGGGACGGCAGCCACAGGAACAATGCAATTCGATCAAACGAACGAAACCACCATCATTCCTAACATCATCACAGAGTCACCAACCACAACAACGTCAGACTCTTCCAATTCCTTGATCACTGAATCCTCTCCATCTGGCACATCAACTTCCATTGATACGACGACGTTAATAACGACAACGACGACGATGACGAGCACGACGAATACGGCGACGCAAACGATGACGACCATGACGACACCGGCATCATCAACTACCAATCGTCCACCTGATACTACTACAACTGCAATTGAGACTACGATGTCTACTACCACGCAATCTATTGAAGATAACATTGATATAAATGATAATCTGATATCAACTGAAGCATCAATGAGTACTACGAGCGTTCCAACATCCACTACACCGTCCTCGGAAATGTCCAATTCAATATCAAGAATGGATACGAATATTGAAACAACAATGACGGATTCAACGGCAGAAACAACATCGACCACAGGATCGAGTTCAACGATTACGACTACGACTACAGCGCCAATGACGACCATGTCTCAGACTATTCCGAGCATGCCTGCATTTTCATCAGTAACTCCTGTTACAACTCAAACAACTTTCACAACACCGTATCTGGGTCGATTCGGTGGTAGCAGATTAACTCCAGCGCCTAGATTTAGTCCTAGCTCGTCAACGAGAGTACCTTTAAGGGATTATCATGTATACGGGATATATCCTAATAAAACGATCGTCAGGAAACGTCCAGAGGATAATCTCATCGATGCTAGAAACGTTGACAGCCCATACGTAATATTTGGTATCTACCCTGATGGAAGATTGGTCCGGAAGTTCCCAAATGGCACGATCATACCAGATCCACCAAGCAATCCGGTTGAGGTTGTCTTTTCTCTTAGCACTACAACTACCACTAACAGGCCACCACCACCCGTGTTCTTTTATAACCAGGCTAACCAAGGCACTTTTAATCAATATCAAGCCCCGAACTATTATAATAATCGTAGACCCGTCGGCAACCCGATGACAAATGGTCAAAACTTTGGCACCGTTGATTTGGGACTTACTGGTAACGCGATCGGCGGATCAAACGGAGGTGGAGCCGATTTCTTGGGCCCACTTGGTACCCCTGGTAGCGTCGCGACCACAAATACAATGGTATCTCTATCCCACATATTAAAATTCGTTCATCATAAATCTATCAACGATCGTTAATAATTTTGCTCGGGATCAACATATCTTTCATATCTTTTCCATCCTATACGTAATGCGATGCTGCTGTTGTTAGTTAGAAATGTTTGTATAGAAATTTTCTTTCTTTCTTTTTTTCTTTTTTGTTTTTTTTCTTTTCTTTCCTTTTCTTTTCGAGAAACGAATCAATATAAAAATATATCGGATGATCGAACAGCAGTGTCCATAAGTAATATACTAACGCTTATATTTAATTTCGACATAATTTTGCGGCTAGACTAATTAATAGTTTCCCAGTGTCATTATGATTAATCTCATTATCATTTGTCAAAAGTTTTAACGATCAAAATGACACTGCGAAAGCATGCCGTTGATAATTTTTAATCTTCATTCTTCTCTTATTTTCTTTCTGTATATAATAAGATTTCGAGCAATAATCGGATTTGATATTTTTAAAAATATATTCAATTTTTCCCATAGAACTCCATGAGCCTCTTCCGTCGTGAATATGATATTTAATTGACGTTCTATTTTCAACAGGCAAAGGTATCGAAACATGATGTCGAGTTATATAGAAACTTGTACATATTAGATTTTTTTTTGCGGGAGGAGGATGGCGGGCAGGAAGGGTGGGGGGAGGGGGATTTCTTTTATCTTTATTTATTTATTTATTTATTTATTTATTTATTTATTTATTTATTTATTTCTTTTTTTCGGCACTTCTGTAAATATTTTTTGCACCCTCACGGCACACACTTTATTCACCTAATCACATAGAATTCATATTTCGATATTTCTAATAGCTATGCTTGACATGATACGATGAATACTTTTGCCTCTGTTAATATATCTTTATCAAATACTTATTAGCTTTCTTCATTTTTTTAGGGATCTCGAATAAATGGTATTAGCGGAGGCGGTCGTATCGTTCAAGATCGACAAAGGGATGAAGCTAGTAGGTCTAGGGAATCTGGAGGTCAACGTAATTCAGTTTATATTGGACAGGTAACCACAAAATTCAGTTCATATTGGACAGGTAAATGCAAAGAAAGAAAGAAAAAAAAAAAAAAAAGGAAAAGTAAACAGGAAAGTCAATTAAAATATGATAGGATTTGTTTCATTCGTGTTTCATCGAATTTTTTTGATTTTTTTTTTTTTTTTTTTTTTTTTATATTCTTATAATTAACAGGATAGATTTGTTAATTATTGGACTAATGGTTCACCTAACACCAATCCACGTGTTGTCAGTGTCAACATAAATTCAGTTGCAGTAAGTAAAAGGGATGATGATGTTGGTTAAATGTCAATTAAAAAAATATTACATTAGAATAATAAAATTTTTCAATCAAAAATAGAGTGCAGCAAACGTAGGACCAGCATCGAATTCAAGAATGGTACAATCCTTTGACAATTTATTGAACGATCAATCTAATAATGGCCAGATAACAGCACCTCCAGGATTTCCATGGAGAGATCCTTTGGATCAGATATTTGGAATTACAACTAATTCTCCAGTAATAACCGCGTCGATTGCATCAAACACTTTGGTATAGAAAACTTGAAAGTAGTTTTATGATAACTGACGAGTTCAGTGTCTTAATGTTTCTTTTTTTTTTTTTCTCTTTTTTTATTTTATCAGGACGACTCCAACGAAGGTAATCCAATGTTCGATCCACGTCCTGTAAGTCCTTTCGTAGAAGTTTTTACACCGGCTTCTGGTATCGTGTCTTCTTCTATCACCGCTGCAATGCCTACGTCAACAATTACCACTACAACAACTCCAGTATCAACAGCAAATGCTATCACTACAAATACGCCAGCTCCAACAACTACTACTACTACTACCACCACCACACCAGCTCCAACAACTACTACTACTACTACTACCACACCAGCTCCAACAACAACTACTACTACTACTACACCAGTTCCAACAACAACTACTACTACTACTACACCAGTTCCAACAACAACAACTACTACTACTACTACTACACCAGCTCCAACAACAACAACTACTACTACTACTACACCAGCTCCAACAACAACTACTACTACTACACCAGCTCCAACAACAACAACTATTCCTACTACTACAACTATGCAAGCTCCAACAACAACAACAACAACAACAATTACAACTACTCCAGTTCCAACAACAACTATCGCTACAACTACGCCAGCTCCAACAACAATTACCACAACGGAGGCTTCAATAACAAATAGTGTCATTCCAGAAATGGGAACGACACCATTTGGAATGTCCAATGATATCCCAATAAATATGCGAACACAAAATGCTTTTGGTACAACATTCGACGATCTTGCATTTTTGAACTCCCTTGTAAGTAAATTAAATCCTGTTTATTTCATTCAAAATCTTTCTTCCTTAATTTTAATAATAATAATAATAATAATAATAATAATAATAATAATAATAATAAAAAAGAGTAGACAGTTAGATAAATGCAATATCTTTCTAGTTACAGCCTAACGATGTACCAACTACGCAAAAAACTCTGAACGAAGTGGAAAAGATTTTAGCCAACAAGGTATAACATCTAACGATAAAAAATTATATAATATTTCAGATAATTTATCTAAATTTAAATATCATAAAAACGATAAACAACAAAGAAAGAAGGAAAAAAAAAGAGAGAGAGAGAGAGAGAGGAAATGTTTAAATGGATTTTGTTTGGAAAGGCTAACAGAACGATTACGTATGTAAGAGCAAAAACACAAGGTATATATATATATATATATATATATATATATATATATTTCCTAAGTCATCATTAACTAATAAAGCTGTGGAGTGCGCAAAGTGGATGGTAATTATCGTCCAGCTAATCGAGCGGTGCAGCTCGAGAAGCGAGAAACTTATAATGCAAGAACTCTCCTTTCACCATTTGCACAATCCTTATATCGTTCTTACTAACACCAACCTGAAATAATCCAAGTATTTATTTCCATTGGATATTCTATAAAGTAGATATTTCCGATTCAATGTAACTCCTTTCTCGTGTTTTTCAAAAACTAAAATAAGAAATAATAACTCTGAATCATCGTAATATATGTAAAATATACTTTGTTTTTCAACTTAACAGCATGATATCCTTAAAAAGGAAAGATATACATATACATATACATATATATATATATATATATATATATATACACATATATATATATATATATTATTATTATTATTATCAAGATCATAAAACACTTATGACATGTATAATTATCAACGTATATCATTTTTTTTTTCTTTCTTTTTTTTTTCTACAGATCCTATCTCTTGCCTTGAGTAATGTCGGACCTACTCGATCACCAAAAGCTATTCAATTATCCAATGTATCCCCAAATACCGTACAACTGTCCTCGTCATCATCGTCGTTGTCATCATTATCATCATCATCGTCATCATCATCATCATTACCATTATCATCATCATCATCGGCACCGATAATCATCGACTTGTTACCATCCACCACGGTGAAACCTTCAACGAAACCTTCTACGTCAACTTCAAGATCATTTACAACGACGGAATCCGGAATTAATCGAAAAGTCCCTGTTAAAATCTCTGATCTATCGGCCAGTGCTCAAACTCACAGTGCTTCTGTGTCCAGTAGCACAACTACAGCGCCTATTGTCGTTGTTACGGCAAAGTCCGTAAATACGAAACCTAAGAGCACAACTCCAGCACCGGTTCAAGGTCTTGGTGCAAGCTTGTTACAAGCCCTATTTGGTGGAAATATTTTTGGTCCTTCTACCACGGTTAAACCATTGGCTAAAACTACAACTAGATCGACAATAAAAACAACGCCAAGTCGAATCGTTGAGATCACTCAAAGGCCTATTTCGGTGACCCAATCATATGTATCACCTAAAGTTGTCAACTTTTCTGATACTGTAGTTAACAACGTGAAAGAAACTACAACAATGAAACCAGTCACTAAGACAACGACGACGACGACAACGACACGTCCATTATTGAACAATCCTAATCCTAGATTGTCTAATGTTGTTAGTTCCTCGACTTATTCGCCCGAGGACGATGCTAAATTCTTATCAGCACTGTTCAACGCTATTCAACAATCCGGTAAGATTTATTAAATTTATTAATTCGAATTCGAATTGATTTTTGTTCGCTTTCTTTCTTTCTTTTTTATCCATTGTTTTTTTTTTTTTTCTATCCTTTGACAGATACGAAGAATCAAAAATCAGTAACAACGCCGATACCAACGTCAATTCAAGACGATGAAGCTTTCCTCAGAGCGATTCTATTTGGTCAAGCTAAACTTCCAATGGTCAAAAGTACGTCCAATTCTGAAATCAGTAACGCGGCTCTCCTGGCGGCCCTATTGAAGGCCCAAGGCATAGAACCGTCGACCCCAGCTACGAATATTCGACAACAATTACAATTGGCCGTAAGTAAAATGAATTACTTGTTGTCCGGTTTTTCTTTTTTTTTTCTTTTTTTTTTCTTTTTTTTTCTTTTTTACTTTAGAAAAAAAGTTACGAATCTTCTTCTTCTTCTTCTTCTTCTTTTTACTTTTATTCGTTAAAGAGAACAAATATTTTTTTATTTTTTTTTTTATTTTCTTTTTTATTTATTCAGAGCTTAAATAACAATCTCGTATCGCTTCCACCGACAACGACGAGTACATCTAGACCTTATTCCACATCAACGAGTATTACTTCAAGGCCAACTAGTACGACGACGACGACAAGAAGACCAACGACTTCAAGGCCAAGGATAATACAAACAACATGGTCACCTAGCTCGACTTATCCGCCGCCATTATTCAGTGGATTCTCCAATTTTGGCAATTCAGTTCAAGAATTACAAAATACTAATGGCGGATCAGTTAACGGGGGGGAAGGTGTTAGAAATCAAGTTGTTAACGTTGCCCTTGGTGCTACCAGAGCGTTCAGTCAGTTCCTCGGTGCTGCCATAACGGTAAAAATCATTTAATTATAATAATTTATTTATTTTCCTTCGATGGAGGAGAAAAGAAGTTTTTCTTTGCGCGATGTTAAAATTTCACAAACCATTATTGAAAACAAATTACTTCCTTATGTACGACATTCTAAACACTTTATTAATAGACTTTCTCGATTTTACGATCTGAAACGCGTAGTTTTACGATCGAATGAAAATCATTAGGAATAGGTGATCGTTTAGAATCACTCAAGAGACACCTTTGACTCGTTCGAAAGAATTTTCAAAACTGATATAAATGATTTTGTTGTGATTAATCTTTGTTTTTCTATATATATATATATATATATATATATATTTTTTTTTCTTTGAATATATTTATTTTCTTTCGAATTAATTTTCAATGTAATCATTGACGTTATCTTTTTATTTTAAATATAAATATTAATATGACAGGATTGATTTTAAATATAGTCAATGTTTATTAGAGGAATTTTTTTTTCTTTTTTTTTTTTTGATATTATTTATTAACAAAATCTTCAAATTTTGTCAAATAAAATTTATTTACAAATATGTATATATATATATATATATATATATATATATATATATATATATATGTATGTACTAATATAAATAACAATAATTATTTTATTATTAATTATTTATTAATATATTATTATTATTATTATTATTATTATTATTATTATTATTATTATTATTATTATTATTATATTTTTTTTTTCTTTTTAGGGTGCAGCACAACAGTTGCAGTCGTTCGTAAGAAACGGCACAAGAATCGTTTCGGAGGTCGTTGGATAGAATTAAACCGAAAGAAAAATTCCCTAGATAATCATCGATCGATAACAATATTCGAATTTAGATCTATTACGAGTGATCTACAATCGAATGATAGATCAATGTTTTTTAGGTTCTCTCGATTAACTCGCGAGAAATTTGTTCGACGAGAGTTCTACGATTATGGACGATAAAATATTTATATTTTATTTACTTAACGTATATTATTGGCAAAGTTAATCGTCGTCTCCTTTTTTTAGTCGTCTAGTAAACTTTTCGTACTTCTTCTTTCTTTTTTTTTTTTTTATCAAGGAAAAAAAAAAGAGAAAGAGAGAGAGAGAGAGAGAGAGAGGGAGCCAGTTTTTCGAGTTCTCTTTTGACTTCTCTCTTTGTCCCTCTCTCTCTATTTTTTTTTTTTTTTTTTTTTTTATTTATTTTCTCCTTTTTTTAAATTTTTTCTTTCCTCTTTTTCTTTCTTCACTTTCGTTTTTATTTCCTTCAATTTTTCTTTTTTTTGCTTTTTTTTTTGCTTTTTCCTTCGAATAAAATGACAATGCATGATTGTAAGAAAAAAAAAGACAGAGAGAGACAGAGAGAGAGAGAGAGAGAGGGAGAGACAGAGAGAGACAGAGAGAGACAGAGAGAGAAAGAGAGAGAGAGAGAAAGAGAGAGAGAGAGAGAGAAAGGAAGAAAGAATAGAAAAAGAAAAAAAATTATAATGATAATAATATAATAATATAATAATATAATAATATAATAATGATATAATAGTATAATAATAATAATATTAAGAATAATAACAATATAATAATAATAATAATAATAATAATAATAATAATAATAATAATAATAATAATAATAATAATGGGATAAGATAGAGAAAAAGGCAAAACGACGCTTTGCAAATGTTTCTAGGGTAAGGCCCATCATTTCTCTTTAGGCCCTTTTTTCATCGCTCTCTTTTGGCTTTTACTTTATCTATAAGAGAATAGAGTATGGCCGTGCATGTACTGTTTGAGACATTTGTAACGTTCGTCGTAATTAACGTAATTAATCGCAAAGGTCGCATCTCGTCACGAGAGAGAGAAAAAGAGAGAGAGAGAGAGTTAGAAAGAGAGAGAAAGAAAGAGAGAGGAAACGCGAGAGAGAGAGAGAGGGAGAAAGAGAGAAAGAAAGAGAGAGGAAACGAGAGAGAGAGAGAGAGAGAGGGAGAAAGAGAGAGAAAGAAAGAGAGAGGAAACGAGAGAGAGAGAGAGAGAGAGAGAGATGGATGAAGAAAGACGAGACGATTCGCGACGCGAGCTTTGTACTTAGCTCGAAGCTGAGGGCCACACACGAAGGTCGAATTAAAGGCGACTATGTACATGGTTGATGCTTACTGAGAGAGATAGAGATAGATAGATAGATAGAGAGAGAAAGAGAAAGAGATAGAGATAGATAGATAGATAGATAGATAGAGAGAGAGAGAGAGAGAGAGAGAGAGAGAGAGAGAGAGAGAGAGAAATGGTGGTAATTTAAGATACATTAAAGAGTAAGAAAAAGAGAGTGAGATATATAGGTAAATAAAAAGAGAAAGAAAAAGAGAAAGTGTGTTTGTGTGTGTGAGAGAGAGAGAGAGAGAGAGAGAGAGAGAATGAATGAGAGTGAGAAAGTATGAGAGAGAGAGAGAGAGAGAGAGAGAGAGAGAGATGAAAATGCCACCTATTTTTTCTGTTCCCTTTTTTTCCCCTTTCTCTCTTTCTCTCTCTCTCTCTCTCTCTCTCTCTCTCTCTCTCATTTTGTTTCTTTTAAATTTTATTTACTCTCTCCATTTTTATATCTTTTTATTTGTCACTTTTGTTTATTTTATTCGTCTTTTTTTTTTTTTTTCTTATCCTCTTTTTTTTATACAGTACAATCATGAACCCTTTGGACGATAGGACTTGTATTCTTTTTTATTTTTATATTTTCGATTTTGTTTTTATTTTCTTAATTTTTTCTTTTCTCTTTTTCTTTTTTCTTTCTTTCTTTTTTTTACTGTACAATAAAGCTGACAACTCTGGTTTATGGTGTTTTTGATAAATTTGTCTGTTTCTTTTTCTTTTCTCTTTCTTCATCTTCATCTTCTTCTTCTTCTTCTTCTTCTTCTTCTTCTTTTTATTTGATCCTTCATATTATCATTTCTTTTTTCTTTCTTTTTTTTTTTCCAGAAATTTTGTTGTAGAAATCAGTATTCGGTAATTTATTTTTTTTTTGCTGCTGTGATTTTTTTTTTATTACTGCTTTGTTAAGGCGCGTGTGTGTGAGTGTGTGTACTTTTTTATTTCTATTTTCTATTTCATAAGAAGAAGTTCTCTATTATATTAGGGCTTATTAAGTGAACTATTTCTAATCTTAGAAATTAGAAATTCGATAACGATAGAGATTAGTAGTATGCAATTTAGTAGAATTAGTATAGATGAGAATGATAAATAATATATATATATATAAAAGAATTGAGAGACAGAATTAGAATAAAAATTAACCTGTATAGATTAAATAATAATAATCTAATAATCTAATTGTAGGAATTTTACATAAAAAGAATAATTTATAACGTTAATAATTTTTTTATTTTAATTTCATAAATGTTGAAACGAATCGATTAATAACTCTTCGATTTCCAATATTTGAATTATATAAACAATTATATAATACATTGATAATTCTTCTAATCTCACAATTATTTCAACTAATAATATCAATAATTCTTCGATTCTAATCTGTCTCTCTCTATCTCTCCATCTCTCTCTCTCCATCTCTCTCTCTCCATCTCTCTCTCTATTTCCATCTCTATCTCTTTAAACTGCTAATCACATTCTAAGGACTAATTTAAATAATAATAATAATAATAAAAAAAAAAAAAAAAAAAACAAAAAAAACAAGAAAACCATTGAAATAAATTTTCGATTCTAATCTTGAAACATTTGGTGCATGTTAAAAAGAAAGAAAAAATATATAAAAAGAGAAAAATATTAATAATTCCACATACGTATATAATCTTAATACCATTTAAACAAACATTAACACACACACACACACACATACACACACATATACACATACATATACATACATATAGTCACATATGGGTATAGAAACTCGTATACGTTTACAATTCCTTTCTTTTCCTTTGTCTTTTTTTTTTTCTTTTTTTTTTTTTTTTTTATTCCATTCACGATTACATCTAAATTCGTTTCGATCATTCAATCAATCATCCATAAAGATTTCTATCGGTATCGTATAAATATCGCAGGAGGTAAGATACGTAAATGATTTGTTTCTTATAATCCATGATTTTAAATTCTATGACATCTAGGACTAGTGCGAATCAGGCCAGGTTTATTAATCATTTACAATGATGTATTTAACGGTCATTAAGGGGCCATTGGTGGGTGGGGGAGTAGGAGGAAGGAGGTATTGACGAGCACGAGCAAGTTGAAAACTATCATGAAGAAGAAGAAGAAGAAGAAGAAGAAGAAGAAGATGTAGTAGAAGTAGAAGAAGAAGAAAAGAAGAGAAGTAGAAGAAGAGGAGGAAGAAGAAAAAGAAAAGATCAGCAAAGACCTTTCTACCCTCTCCTCTTCCTCCTCCCAACCCCTTACTCTTTACTTCTCTTCCCCACCCCACCCCCACTCCCACCCCTTCTTCACTCTTTCTCTCTTCATGATGCTGAACTGACAGAAATAATTAATAGTTTTCAAAGCGATACTTTATAATCGTCGAGATATTTATAACCGCAAGATGCAATACATATTTCGTATATATATATATATATATATATATATATATATATATATATATATATATATGTATATGTATATATTTATAAGAAAACTAACGTGGCGAAGGATGGTTATGATTAATAGGGAAATCAATGATACTACAGGATATTATCGATCGTCCTGGACGATAAACTGGTATAATAGTGGTTAATTATTAATATTTTATAATCATATTGTTATTCATACGACGTTTTAATAATTTCTATCTTTGGTTCGTGGCTGATATAATTGAGAAACACCGTCGGCTTTGTCCCTCCATTTTTTCTTTTTCTTTTTCTTTTTCTTTTTTTTTCCTTTTTCTTTTTTTCTTTTTTTTCTTTTTTTTTTTAATCCGTCCTTCGCAATGCACGCAGTTCATTTTTGTGTTGTTGTTTTCTCTTTTTGTCTCTCTTTTTTTTTTTTTTTTTTTTTTTCTTTTTTTGTCCCTTTTTATTTTCAATTTATCCCTTAAAACAAACACTATGACGACGGATATGCCCTGATCTCAGAGAGACGCATTTGTATTCAAATATGCGAAGACGTATTTTCAGAAAAAGAAAAGAAAAGAAAAGAAAAAAAAACAAACGAACGCACTTTTTCATAATTTTGATAAACAAAAATTTACGAAAGAATAATTTCTTTTATATTATTATTATTATTTATTTAATTTTCTTTTTTTTTTTTCGTTGCTTGTTCTTTTTTTCTTCCCCCTTTTTACCACGCACTAATTAATTTACTCGCGCAAATGGATCTATAAATAAGTATACTTTGTACGCGCTTATAAATAAATTTTTATAAAATGAAAACGTTTGTACATTAGATTTGCATATTTATTAGATTTGCTTAGTATATTGGATTTGCAAATAAATTGAAAATTAAATATACCATATATACGTTATTATATGTTTATAAAAGAAATTTACGAATGGATACGTTTCATATGTGCGTACAAGTAAATTGAATAGTGAATAAATGTTCATAAAAAAAAAGAGAAAAAAAAAATCAAAACAAAAACAAAAACAGAATAAATAAAAATAAAAACCTTATGCGCACTAAAGTAAGTAAATCTTATAAACGAGCATTTGTTCGTATGACGAATAAACTTTATGCTCTTGTTAAAAAAAAAAAAAAAAAAAAAAAATTAAACAAACGAATATACACTTCCTAGATATTACAAATAAAATTTTACGCTTTAATGAATAAATCTCAGTGATATTGAATAAACGATATTGAATAATCGCGAATAAGATTAAAAATGAATATTCATAAATAGACAAAAGTTTGATGATTAAAATCTATATAAAATAAATAAACGTTCATTAGATTGTCATATATATGTCAAAGGATTTATAGAAATGAAATTGATCTGATTTAAAAAGAAATATATATATATATATATTTAAATTAAGAACTTTTACATATATCATTATTTAGAACCTTTACATATATCATAAGGAT